CTGTGAAGTGTGTAAACCTGGAGATTCACAGACCTGTACCCCTGGGGGGAAAAAATATATGTTTATAAAAAATAAAATTTAAAAAAATAAAAAACAAAAACAGTGACATAGATCAATGGTACAGAATAGAAATCCCAGACATAAACCCAAGCGTATGTGGTCAATTAATTTACAACAAAAGAGCTAAGGATATACAATGAGAAAAAGATGGTCTCTTCAATAAAAGTGATGGGAAACTGGACAGGCACATGCACAAGAATGAAACTAAAAATAACTTTAGCACAGCCCAATAAAAAGACAACCTACTAAATGACATAAAATATCTGTAAAACATATACCTGATTAGGGGTTAATATCAAACATATATAAAGAACTCATACATCTCAAGAGCAATCAAAACAATCTGATTTAAAAAATGGGCAGAGAGGGCCCCTGGGTAACTCAGTCCATTAAGCATCTGACTCTTGGTTTCAGCTCAGGTCATAATCTCAGGGTTGTGAGATCATGTCTTGCATCAGGTTCTGCGCTGGACATGGAGCTTGCTTAAGATTCTCTCTTCCTTTTCCTCTGCCCCTCCCCCCTCAACACTTGCATTCATGCTCTATCTTTAAAAAAAAAAAAAAGTGGGCAGAGGACTGAATAGACATTTTTCCAAAAAGGACATACAAATTGCCCAATACCAATAGGTATATGAAAAGATGCTCAACATCACTAATCATCAAGGAAAGACAAATCAAAACTACAATGAGATATCACCTCACACCTGTTAGACTGGCTTTCATCAAAAAGACAATAGATAAGTGTTGATGAGGATGTGAAGAAAAAGAAGTTTTTGTGCACTGTTGATGGGACTGTAACCTGGCACAGCCACTGTGAAAAACAGTATAGCGGTTCCACAAAAAGTGTAAAAAATAACCACCATATGACCACACCAATCCTATTTCCGGGCATATACTAAAGGAACTGTAAGCCGTATTTCAAAGAGATATGTATACTCCCATGTTCACTGCAATATTATACATAATAGTCAAGAGAGGAAAACAACCCAAGTGTCCATCAACAGATAAATAAACAAGTAAGATCTGACAGAGCTAGATCCAGATATAATGGAATATTATCTAGCCATGAGAAAAAAGGAAATTCTGCTATTCATAACACATGGATAGACCTTAAGGCCTTATATTAAATGAAATAAGCCAAAGACAGAGAGAGAGAAATACTGTCTGATATCACTTAGATGTGGAATTTAAGGAGACAAAAATGTCAAATTCCTAGAAACAGAGTAGAAAAGTGGTTGCCAGGCTTTGCAGGATGGGACAGAGAGGGAGAGGTTGGTAAGAATATAATTTGTCAGCTATCAGATGAAAGAGGTTAGAAGATCTAATATAAGTCATGATGACTATAATTGATAACACTGTATCATACAATTAAAATGTGTTGAGAGAAGAACTTAAATGTTCTCAGCACAAAAAAAAAAAAAGCACAGCAATGGATGTGTTAATTAACTAGATGAGAGGGGATCCTTTCAAAAAGCCCAAATATATCAAATCGCCAAAACTTTAAATATCTTATGATTTTATTTGTCAATTATACCTCATGAAAACTGAAGTTTTTAAAAAATGAAGTCAACTCACAATTTCTGTTCTATTGATAGTAGCTAAAGATTAACCAATGCACACATGGGTAGCTCAATCAGTTAAGCATCTGAGTCCTCATTTTGCCTCAGGTCTTGATCTCAGGGTCAGGAGATCCAAGATGCCTAAGAGTCTCTCTCTCTCCTTTCCCTCAGCCCCTCCTCCCACTCACACTCTAATGAATAAATAAATAAATAAATAAATAAAATCTTTTAAGTAACTAAATGTAAAAAATAAAGATTAACCAAATGTTCCAGACAGGTTTTTGAATCATGTAAATTCCAAGCACTTCAAGAACTGGCTTTCTTGCTAATTCTACCATCAATGTTTTGTACTACATCTCTATTAACCTCAAACCATCACCATAAAAATTCAATATTGCCTATACGAGATTTTTGGGATACACTATTTTTTTTAAATGACAGATGGCATTTGGATATATAAAAAGCTTTCTAAAATGTGATTTTGTCAGTTTTCTGTAAAGCTTGACAATCATCTTCAAAGTTTTTCCTAAAGACTTTTTCTTCCTTCATTTTTCATCTTTTTAAAATCAGTGACTATTTTTATTCTGCTTGGTCAGACAAGTAGGATTTGATTTGCAACAGCTGTATTTCAATAGTGCACACACAAACAATTTCATTTCTGCCTTTATAATTCTTTTTTTAACCATCAAGTAATAAATCATAGTTTGGTCCAAGGGTTTTGGAATCATTTTGGACTTTTAATATAATATAATCAAGTGGGTTTGCTATACATTTCATTATCATAAATTTTGTTTAGCTCTGCATTTAACAATGGGTTAGCTCAGCATGGACATATTTTCTTTCCCTTGATGTCTGTCTCCCTTTCATTCCCAAATTTAGAAGATTATTGTCATGAATTCTTCATTTACTGCTAATGTACTTGAACTTCATTCCAGTTATTCCACATGCCCTTCAGGTTTTTATAATTATACAAATGTCACAATGGAAATCTATAGATAAGTGTGAAGATATATACTTGTGTGTGACAGCACTTTGGAATGAATACTGACAGGACTTCAAGAGGGAAAATACATGCTTACAGGACAAAACTTAACAGCAACCAAGAAGTAGCTGCATGGAGCACTGGGTATGATGCATAAACAATGAATCTTAGAACACTAGAAAAATAAAATAAAATAAAATAAAATAAAATAAAATAAAATAAAATAGACTTGGCTCTCAGGTATATGGCCATAATTTGTTTTCTTTTGTTTCATTTTTTTCTCTTCTCCCAAGGTTTTTTTTTTTAATTTTTTTTAAATATTTATTTATTTGACAGAGATAGAGATCACAAGTAGGCGGAGAGGCAGGCACAGAGAGAGAGAGAAGGAAGCAGGCTCCATGCTGAGCAGAAAGCCTGACTCGGGGTTTGATCCCAGGATTCTGGGATCATGACCTGAGCTGAAGGCAGAGGTTTTAACTCACTGAGCCACCCAGGCACCCCTCCCAAGGTATTTTTTTTACAAAGGGAGGAACAAATATAAAGACAAAGCTTATAACTTTGTTACATTTAGATTCCAATATCTTCTTACATGGATCTGCTTCACCTGAGAATGGTAAGCTAGGTAGGTGTCCAATAAAATTCTTAATTTCGGAGATGGACAACACTTTCTACTTGCCAGTTGGACTGACCCTAAAAATGTAAATATGCCTGTCAATTCTCATGTCTCCATTTAATGCAATCTCCACCACCTACATGGGTACCCCCTATCAACTTGGGTTCAGACATTGCTGGCTCCTTATTCAAAGGACCACATGCTTATATATTAATATATGCAAATACATTAAATAGTCTTTAAGGCCAGACATTTGTTCACTTGGTCTATAATCAGTGAACTCTGAAATGCAAGTATAAAACTCCACATTTATTTAGTTTAATAAAAAAAATCTCATGTGTCATAGGCAATAATTAATTTCATCTATTAAAGAAAACCAAACAAGACAATCTTTGTCCAAAACCATTACTCATTTGATCCATAAGCCCAGAAAAAAGATTTAACTTCCTCTTGCCTTGGTTCCCCTACGTTAGTTCCTGAATGGATATGTTGGGGCATGGAGGAGGTCATTTTCTAGTCTTGTTTCCATATTAACTAGAGTTCTTCTCCCTGAACAACAAGAGCAACAGTCAAGTTTTACAGGAACACCAATTCTGAGAGAACCAACTGAAGGACCAAGTGTCATTCAGCCAATGATTCCTTCTACAGGCTCTTCTCAGAGATGAGAACCTAATTTATTGTTCCTTTGTATTACCTTTCTCCTAAAATATTAAGAGTTGACAGCTGAGTAAATAACTGGCATTCAGTAAAGACACCTATTATTATCTCTTTAGTCCACAAAGATCTTAAAAGAAAATATTTTAAGGTAAAATTGTCTACTAATAATTGAGGTTCTTTGAACAAAAGTTCTCAATATTACAATTTGTAGTGCATGGATCATTGTGTTAAAAACTTCTGACAATAGCAACATATAATATAGTACATGCACTTCTTGGGTTGTGAACATCCCAGGTTTTTTGGTTAAAAATAATGCCAGTTTAAAGACTTTAATCATCTACATTTTGATTTTGAAACATTATCTCCTAATTTCCAGGAGAATTATGGTATGTTGATAACACAAATTAACAAATTCAGAAGGGAACTTGAAACCAATTCAATAGCAAGCTGTTGTTTTGCCCCCAGGTCTCCCGTGACAGCACAACCAGGTCAGGAGTAATTATTAACTCTCAAAATAAATGTTGAGCTTAGCATTCTTACCTGGCACCCTCTTTGCCCAGTTGATCATGTGAACCAGCTCCCTGTCAGCAAGGTTAGTCAGCAAGCCCATCATCGAAGCCTCGCTGAAGGGTCTGGAAGGATCGTAGTCGGAATAGATTATGGGGGGCTCAGCCTCTAACAAGGCACTGACCATCTGATCAGCTGTCAGAGACAAGGCTGGGCTGTTCTTCTTAGTGTGCTTGATCAAGAGTGGGCTTGGCCAAAGATTGGAAGTCCTCATATCTCCAGAGGACCCCACTTCATTCCTGCCCTCTGCATCATCTCTCTGGCGCTTGTGTTTCAACATTCTCCCTCCTCTTCGGTCTTTCCGTATCCCTGAGAACACAGAAAGAAAAAAAAAATACCCGGTTTATTTATTCTTTTCATATTAACTTTCCTACTAAAACAAATTTCAAAGCTAATAGCCTTTATTTTATTTACAGAAATATTTGAGGCACAGGTGTACTAGTATTTACCAACCAGCTGCCTAAGAGGAAAAAAGGCTTTGATCCATAGCTTTGACCGATTTCCATGGTGTAAATACTCCCACTGTGGCAAATTTCAAGCTACTTGTCTTATATCAAGCAGTTTTCAGAACAGCTGGAAAGTTCACAGTGGACTTTTTGTGAGCTGGTCCAAGCTGATTCTGACAAATGGCTTGTGTGTGTGTGTGTGTGTGTGTGTGTGTGTGTGTGTGCGTGCACATGCATGGGTGTGTCACAGATGCTACAAAAAGAACAGAATTATAATTACTTATTCTTGAAATATGGCTTAGCATCAAAGACCACTTCTGCTATGGACATGCTTTTAACAGTAGATTTAAAAGTCAATGAAAAAAGGAAGATGGCAGAGAAGTAGCAGGCTGATCAGTTGGTAGGTAGCAGGAGATCAGCTAGATAGCAGGTAGCAGGAGCTCAGCTAGATAGCTTATCAAACAATTTCAAACACCTACAAATCCAATGGGAGATTGAAGAGAAGAAGAACAGCAATTCTAGAAACAGAAAATCAGCCACTTTCTGAAAGTTAGGACCAGTGGAAAAGTGAATCCAAAGTGACGGGAAGATAGACCGCGGTGCGAGGGGCCGGCTCCCGGCAAGTGGCAGAGCAACGGAGCACAAAATCAGGACTTTTAAAAGTCTGCTCCACTAGGGGACATTGCTCCAGAGGCTACACCGGGGTGAAGCCCACGCGGAGCCAGCGTGGCCCTAGGTCCCACAGGGTCACAGAAGGATCGGGGGTGTCTGAGTGTCACAGAGCTCGTAGGTATTAGACCGGGGAAGCCAGCTACAAAGACAGAACCGAGGAGTGAGCTCTCAGCTCCGGGCTACCTTGAACCGGTCGCAGGTTGGGTGAGCTCAGAGCATGGCCAGAGGCCAGGGAGACAGGAGTGTTTGGACTCTTTTCTCTGAGGGCACACTGAGGAGTGGGGCCCTGAGCTCTCGGCTCCTCCGGGCTGGAGACTAGGAGGCCGCCACTTTCATTCCTGTCCTCCGGAACTCTACGGAAAGCGCTCAGGGAACAAAAGCTCCCGAAAGCGAACCCGAGCAGGTTACTTAGCCCAACCCCTGGTAAGGGCAGTGCAATTCCGCATGGGGCCAAGACACTTGAGAATCACTACAACAGGCCCCTCCCCCAGAAGATCAACAAGAAATCCAGCCAAGACAAACTTCACCTACCAAGGAGAACAGCAGAATTCCAGTGGAGGAGAAAACAAAGGATGGAAATCATGGCTTTCTCCCCATAATTCTTTATTATTGTGGTTAATTTAAATTTTTTTAATTTTATTTTTTTTTCTTCTGCTAAATTTTTTTAACGTTTACCCTTTTCTTTTTTAACGTTTTTTAAATAGCTTATCTAATATATAAATATATATATATTCTTTTCTTCTTTATATTTTTTCTTTATTTGTTTTCTTTTTAAATTTTTTTTTCTGAATTTCTTTTTATCCCCTTTCTCCCTCCCACGATTTGGGGTCGCTTCTGATTTGGTTAAAGCACATTTTCCTGGGGTCTTTGCCACCCTTTCAGTATTTTATTTGCTCCGTCATATACTCTTATCTGGACAAAATGACAAGGCAGAAAAACTCACCACAAAAAAAAGAACAAGAGGCAGTACCAAAGGCTAGGGAACTAATCAATACAGACATTGGTAATATGTCAGATCTAGAATTCAGAATGATGATTCCCAAGGTGCTAGCTAGGCTTGAAAAAGACATGGAAGATATTAGAGAAACCCTGTCTGGAGAAATAAAAGCCCTTTTGGAGAAATAAAAGAATGAAAATCTAACCAAGTTGAAATCAAAAAAGCTATTAATGAGGTGCAATAAAAAATGGAGGCTCTTACTGCTAGGGTAAATGAGGCAGAAGAGATAATTAGTGATATAGAAGACCAAATGACAGAGAATAAAGAAGCCGAGCAAAAGAGGGACAAACAGCTACTTGACCACGAGGGGAGAATTCGAGAGTCAAGTGACAACATAAGACTAAACAACATTAGAATAATTGGGATTCCAGAAGAAGAAGAAAGAGAGAGGGGAGCAGAAGGTATATTGGAGAGAATTATTGTAGAGAATTTCCATAATATGGCAAAGGGAACAAGCATCAAAATCCAGGAGGTACAGAGAACCCCTCTCAAAATCAACAAGAATATGTCCACACCCTGTCACCTAATAGTAAAATTTACAAGTCTTAGCGACAAAGAAAAAATCCTGAAAGCAGCCCAGGAAAAGAAGTCTGTAACATTCAATGGTAAAAATATTAGATTGGCAGCAGACTTATCCACAGAGACCTGGCAAGCCAGAAAGAGCTGGCATGATATATTCAGAGCACTAAACAAAAAAAAAACATGCAGCCAAGAATACTATATCCAGCTAGGCTATCATTGAAAATAGAGACAAAAAACTTCCAGAACAAACAAAAACTAAAAGAATTTGTAAACACCAAACCAGCTCTACAGGAAGTATTGAAAGGGGTCCTCTAAGCAAAGAGAGATGCTAAAAGTAGTATATCAGAAAGGAACAGAGACAATATACAATAACAGTCACCTTACAGGCAATACGATGGCACTAAATTCATATTTCTCAATAGTCACCCTGAATGCAAATGGCCTAAATGCCCTAATCAAAAGACACAGGGGATCACAATGGATAAAAAAAAAACAAAACCCACCAATATGTTGCCTACAAGAAACTCATTTTAGACCTGAAGACATCTCCAGATTTAAAGTGAAGGGGCGGAAAACAATTTACCATGCTAATGGACATCAGAAGAAAGCTGACATGGCAATCCTTATATCACATCAATTAGATTTTAAGCCAAGGACTATAATAAGAGATGAGGAAGGACACTATATCATACTCAAAGGGTCTGTACAACAAGAAGATCTAACAATTTTAAATATCTATGCCCCTAACATGGGAGCAGCCAACTATATAAACCAATTAATAACAAAATCAAAGAAACACATCGACGATAATACAATAATAGTAGGGGACTTTAACACTCCCCTCACTGAAATGGACAGATCATCCAAGCAAAGGATCAACAAGGAAATAAAGGCCTTAAATGACACACTGGACCAGATGGACATCATAGATATATTCAGAACATTCCATTCCAAAGCAACAGAATACACAGTCTTCTCTAGTGCACATGGAACATTCTCCAGAATAGATCACATCCTGGGTCCTAAATCAGGTCTCAACCGGTATCAAAAGATTGGGATCATTCCCTGCATATTTTCAGACAACAATGCTCTGAAGCTAGAACTCAATCACAAGAGGAAATTTGGAAAGAACACAAATACATGGAGACTAAACAGCATCCTTCTAAAGAATGAATAGGTCAACCAGGAAATTAAAGAAGAATTGAAAATATTCATGAAACAAATGATAATAAAAACACCACAGTTCAAAAATCTGTGGGACACAGCAAAGGCAGTCCTGAGAGGAAAATCTATAGCAGTACAAGCCTTTCTCAAGAAACAAGAAAGGTCTCAAATACACAACCTAACCTTACACCTAAAGGAGCTGCAGAAAAACAACAAAGAAAACCTAAACCCAGCAGGAGAAGAGAAACAATAAAAATCAGAACACAAATCAATAAAATAGAAACCAAAAAAAAAAAAAATAGAACAAATCAATGAAACTAGGAGCTGGTTCTTCGAAAGAATTAATAAGATTGACAAACCCCTGGCTAGACTTATCAAAAAGAAAAGAGAAAGGACCCAAATCAATAAAATCATGAATGAAAGAGGAGAGATCACAACTACTACCAAAGAAATACAAACAATTATAAGAACATACTATGAGCAACTCTATGCCAACAAATCTGACAATCTGGAAGAAATGGATGCATTCCTAAAGACATATAAACTACCACAACTGAACCAGGAAGAAATAGAAAACCTGAACAGACCCATAACCAGTAAGGAGATTGAAACAGTCATCAAAAATCTCCAAACAACAAAAGCCCAGGGCCAGATGCCTTCCCAGGGGAATTCTACCAAACATTTAAAGAAGAACTAATTCCTATTCTCCTCAAACTGTTCCAAAAAAATAGAAATGGAAGGAAAACCTCCAAACTCATTTTATGAGGCCAGCATTACCTTGATCCCAAAACCAGACAAGGATCCCATCAAAAAAGAGAATTACAGACCAATATCCTTGATGAACACAGATGCAAAAATTCTCACCAAAATATTAACCAATAGGATTCAACAGTACATTAAAAGGATTATTCACCACGACCAAGTGGGATTTATTCCAGGGCTGCAAGGTTGGCTCAACATCTGCAAATCAATCAATGTGATACAACACATTAATAAAAGAAAGAACAAGAACCATATGATACTTTCAGTAGATGCTGAAAAAGCATTTGACAAAGTACAGCATCCCTTCCTGATCAAAACTCTTCAAAGTGTAGGGATAGAGGGCACATACCTCAATATTATCAAAGCCATCTATGAAAAACCCACCGCAAATGTCATTCTCAATGGAGAAAAACTGAAAGCCTTTCCGCTAAGGTCAGGAACATGGCAGGGATGTCCATTATCACCACTGCTATTCAACATAGTACTAGAAGTCCTAGCCTCAGCAATCAGACAACAAAAAGAAATTAAAGGCATCCAAATTGGCAAAGAAGAAGTCAAACTATCACTCTTCGCAGATGATATGATACTATATGTGGAAAACCCAGAAGACTCCACTCCAAAACTACTAGAACTTGTACAGGAATTTAGTAAAGTGTCAGGTTATAAAATCAGTACACAGAAATCAGTTGCATTTCTCTACACCAACAAGACAGAAGAAATAGAAATTAAGGAGTCAATCCCATTTA